ACAGCCGCCGTGAGGTCCCCAGTAAGCGTGGGACCTTACGGCAGCCGAAGGCATTTAAAAATGTAAAGGGCCGGTATCGACTAAGTATCGGGGCATATTCACGTGAACTAGTATCAATATCGATGCATCCATAATCTTTAACCATTAGGACAGGCAGTGTTCAAATCTAGTTTACTAATAATGAGATCTGCCAGCACAGTACATACTGGTTTCAATATGCTAAACTTTAAGCTCCCCAGTCCCTTTGCATGCCAAAGAAAAATTCAGTTAGGTTATTCTCCAATCTTTCAGCATAGAGTGTGAAATATGTAAAAAGAGCATTTTTATGTCTTTATGTGAATAAAATAGGTGTTATCCAAATACGGCTGCAAATGTGGAAATACACTTTAAAGTCTCATAGTAATGGTGGCCACTTAGTGAAAAAAAAAAAAAAAAAACAATACTGCACAGGGTCAATGCATAAGGATGGGAAATAAAGGTACAACAGATGACATCTGAAAATGTTACCATTTACATTGATTATAGTAAGTTAAATAGTCGTTACAGTTCTTATTTGCTGTGAAAATGCTATCATGACTAATTTTTAGTCAAGTTGTGTATATTTTTATTTTCCACAGGCCATTGAGACTCATTTAATCCGTAAATCTAGTAATGGCTTGACATACATTGCTGAGTGGAAAGGTGGTCTCCTTGAGCATAAAATGGGCCATTTAACATGTTTCGCTGGTGGCATGTTTGCACTTGGGGCTGATGGTGCACCAGATGATAAAACAGGACATCATATAGAATTGGCTGCAGAGATTGCACGGACCTGTCATGAATCTTATGATCGCACAGGTAGGCCATTTATGGTATTTTTCATCAGATGTTGCTGTTGCCGCTACTAAAAAGTATTAGGTAAGACGATTAGCATTTAATGAATGTTTATCTACTTCTACTACACTGTAAATAGCTTGATTTAACTGGTAAAAGAAAAAAATACCTGACAAAAATCACCAGAATCTATAGGATTGTCCATTGTGTTAAATTATACCATGAATGATTTATGCAGAGGATAGAAAAATGCCAAAATAGTCCTTTTGTAAATCACAAAGCAGAGATGTATATTTTTTACATGTATTTTCTTCATTTTGTTAGTGTTATTGAAATAACACTGACCGCATAAAAAATTATAAATTGCTGTATTATCTCATTCATTTCCTCTTAATGAAAGTTGATGCATTTTTTTGTGGTGAAATCTCCAAATACAGCACTTCTAGCACTTATATTATTTTAAGCATTGGTTCATCTATTATTTCCTCTCAAAGCAATAAATTGGGTCATAAATTTTATTATTTTCTTTAGTCCGCTGTGAAAAGCGTGCTGAACATACAAAGTTGTCAAAAATGTGTTTTTTTCATTTTGATTTATCTAAACTTCTTTAATGCACTGTTTGCCTTTCTTCTGTAAATACAGCTTGCCCTGGTTATGCCCTTAGTTATAATACAGACACAATGAGCCCTGCAGGGAACACATCCTACCTAGTTGGGACTTAAAGTTTTTTTTTCCTCCAGTCATTGCCACAGTGTGCCAGTCCAATTTTTTTCTCATTTATTTGTTATGCAAGGGAGCTATTCTTAACCACATCCGCTGTGCATATCTCGCTGTGTTTAATATACAGAAATCCTAAGCTATCCAAGTGTTAGTACAGGTTAATTTAAGGTGCATCACAGCCACCAGTCTTATTTAAATTGGGCGTGGAAGTTTGAATCTGAGTTGTTGTTAATGAAGCAGATGGCGAGAATTTGGCATTGGAGGTTTCAGGTAACCGATCCTCTGCCCCACATGTGAGGTGCTCTGTGGAATTTGGCTGAAGCCAATTACACTGAATTCAGGGTGAAGAGAATCTGTCAAAATAGAAATATAATAATGTTTTTAAGGTGCAACCGCCAGGGATGATATCATTATTATTTTTTTTTTTTTTATACTTTGAGTGGAAATTTGGTTAATATCACACCTGCTGTTTAATATATATTCTAACACTGGTATAATATAGGCCTAGGCAGTCCTTTCCAAAATTTACCAAAATCATGACAAAATAAGTATTAAATTGTAGCAATACAGACAGCTGTAAAACCCAGGGGCGGACTGACGACACATGGGGCCCCCGGGCAATACATGGTTATGGGGCCCCCTTGTGCTCCGCCCATATACAAGCCCCTCCCACAAGTCCCACCTGTATAAACATTCTTGTGTCACAGATCAGGCCGGCACAGCCCTCTAATCAGGCATGTTAGAGGGCCGTCCGCTGGGGCCTCCTGAGGCTCTAATTGGGAGTGAGCAGCCACCCGATTAGAGATTGTGTAGAGATGTCACCAGCACACCAAAATCCTTCTTAGGATAAGCAAATGTTAATTTATTGAAGTTCCTTGTCGTATAAACAATAGTTGTTTATACAATGTTCATTTATTGAAGTTCCTTGTCATATAAACAACTATTGTTTATACGACAAGGAACTTCAATAAATGAACATTTGCTTATCCTAAGAAGGATTTTGGTGTGCTAGTGACATCTCTACACAATTGCTGATATTTGCGGCGCCATCCGCAGTCACTGCGAGCACCCTGCCTGATAGGGTAACTATCAGGCAGGTATGGCAGAACAGTGTCCAGAACAACCTTATGAAGGTGTGTTTATCACTCAGGGCCCGTTCACACTATCCAGTGCGTTCATCGCACAGTCTCATGGGATGAACGTAATGGATCACATGAACAAAGGCTCATTCTGGGGTGGGAGGGGGCCTGGTGGCTCCATTCATGTCAATGGCGCTGCAGGCATGCCTCCCACCCACACTGGAACATGTGGTACCTCAATGCACTGCGTACCAGTGCGGTGTGATCGCAAAAAAAATCAGGCATGCCCTATTTTTTTGTGATTGCACGGCACTAGAACACAGTGAGGGGAATTTATCAAACTGGAGCAGCCATGCATGGCAACCAATCGGCACCTCTCACTCATTTTCAAATGTTGAACTGTGGAGAGAAGCTGATTGGTTCCCATGCACAGCTGCACCAGTTTTTACAAACCCCCCCAGTGCATTGTGGGACCACACGTTCCAGTGTGGGTGGGAGGCATGTTTGCAGTGCCATTGACATGAATGGAACCACCACACCCCCTCCCACCCCAGAACGCAGGGAGCGTTTGTTTATATGATCCAGTGTGTTCAACCCATGGGACTGTGTGGGGAACGCACTGGATAGCGTGAACGGGCCCTCAACTGAGTGTAAGGGCTTGTTCACACCAAATCCAGTGTGTTCCAGCACAGTTTGTTGCTGGAGCACAGTGGATTGCATAATTACAGCCTCCCTGCGTTCTGGGGTTGAAGAGTGTGTGGTGGTGCGCACCGTTGTGCCACGCGTTCCGGTGTGTGCGATTGCACTGACAGTCACCACCCTCTGCAGGGAAATGATCGAGAAGTGAGCGGATTGGTGCATGTTTCTGCTCACTTCACGATCGATAGAGCCAACCTGTAACAGCTTCTTTGTCACAAATCGGCTCTAACTATGAAGATGAATGGAAAAAAGCCCTGACCCCATAGTTCTCCTTTAAAATGAAATCTGTTATCAAACTTACCGGTTCTTTTTGAAACGGTCCCCCTGAGAATTCTCTCTCCCCAAGCAGTCAGTAGCGGACCTAGGGAACAAAGGGCCCTGGTGCAAATTATTTTTGGTGCCCCCCCAAAAAAAAACCCCTAACCCACATCCCCTTTAACAACCACAAAAAAAAGTTGGAAAAATGGCATTGCTGTATAAAGTACTGCTGAGATTTGTAGTCCTCTATAGAGGGTGCCATTCTGCATTGGGATGGAATGGGACCTGCTATATAGAACTACAAATACCAGCTGTACTTTATACAGCAATGCCATCAATTGGGCTATAAAAAAAAAAAAGTTTAATTTATTAACTTACCTTCACCTCCTCTGGCTGTTCCCTGGTGGGGGAGGCTGCAGAAAACCACACGTGTGTCCATCTCAGCGCGCCCGTGTACTCAGGCGGCTGTCTGCTGGGTCCTCACGGCCGAGGCTCAGGGCTGCATTAGACAGCCGCCTGCAGCTGCAGATCGGCTGAGAGAGGAGACTCTGTATGCGGTGGCTGGATCTGCCTGCAGCGACCCCACCTTATGCGGCGCCTGTGACGGGCCCCCTGAAGGCCGCGGGCCCTCGGGCAGTGCCCGGCGGACCGAATGGTCAGTCCGCCCCTGGTAAAACCAATACATGTTTAACCCCTTCATGACTGAGCTTGTTTTTAGTTTCTGTTCGTAAATGACTGAACAGACTTCCCTCTCCTCTGCTCTTGCGTGCTAAATAGGGTAGAGCTTCAGGTCTTGAATCGGCCATGAGTTGGGCCAGATATTCATTGTTTGCAGTTTTAAAAAAAAGAGCAAACTAATGTGCAGCTGGTCAACGAAGGCATAGCAACAGGAGAAAGAGGACTTCTTGGTGTTTCACAGCCTGCTGGATCCTTTCACAACTGACCCCTCTTCCTCGTACTGCTCCTCTGCTGCCCCACAGAGATGGAGAGTTGGCGTGCTGACTGTGAGGACACAGGCACGCTCTCAGTGTTATGTTTCACCCCTCCCAAACCCCCCTGGGCTTGTGCGTGTGTGGTGTGAGATCCTTTAGAACACCATTTTCCTCAACGATAACAAGGGCTATCTGCTGCAGGAAGTTTCTAGCAAATAGGCTCATTTATGTTGCAGTGCCTGCGCAAGGACCCCAGGTTTATGGCTTTGAAGGAGAGGGACCATTGCTAGTTTGCACTTCTTTTTGTGCCATTAGAGGTGCCCATAAAGTGGGTGTACCCCTTTCATGCAGTAAGGCTCTGTTGGCTTGCCCTATGGACAGTGTGCTCTCAGAATGAGCATTTAGGGCAGTAGGCGGTTTTGTGATGGAGAAATTAATCCGTCTCCCAACACAGTTTGCCTGCTAACTTTTATAAAAAATGAACCTGTCCTGGGTCAGCAATGAGTACAAAAACCTCTGCAGCTGATGTTGCCATTTATTTTTATATATTTTTTTTAAATATGACCCCAAAACCATTAGTATAACCTACAGCATTGCCATATGCCACTGCTGCTGGCCTGATACCATTACCAACCCCTTCTACTGCTGCAGGCCTGACATAACCATCTTCTACTGCTGCTGGCTTGCCACTTTTACCATGTGCTGTCACGGTTTGCTGCTCATTTTACCACTGTTATGATTTTATGCCACCAGTGCTGGCGTGCCAACTCGTACTGCCTCTACTGCCCTATTCTGGTGCCCAAGGCCTGGAGTCTTCCTATCATAAAGCACCCTCTGTACAGAGTTGGTACAATATTTTGCTGGCCTTATTCTATGAAATAATAGTCTTATGTTGCTTTTTGGATTAAGAGCTGACTTGTCTTTACTGTTGAAAATGCAGATTGGCGCAAATGTCTAAACACTTTGTCCAGACTTTCTACAATATATTGTTCTTTTTCTGTGAAATAAATACACTCCTATATTGATTTTTTTTTGCATTGAAGGCTGGTTGCCTCTCTGTTTAAATGCAGCGTACAAAAAAAAGGCTTACAAGAGAACCAAAGCCAAAGCTTTTTTTTCCTTCTCTTTCGGATCCCAAAAGTACATTTACTAATGTTCTCCTGTGACCCACAGCATATAACTGGGCTTGCTGCAGCCGCATAGGATCCCAACAATTTTGTCGATTGGCAGCTGGCTTTGCCTCTCTAGAGCCAGAGCCATCTGTGCCCTCATACTCTCCTGTCTGTCACTCCAGTGAGCACTGGGGGGAACAGAGGGGGAGGGGGGAATCCCTGTGGGGATTGGACCGTTCCATATTGCCGTATTCTGCAAAGGCAGAATTGATTTTCAGAAGGGATCCCCAGTGACTTCAGTGGGGTACAGATTAAAGTTGGCAGTTTCCGGAATTTACCATGAGTTTGATGAATGGCCCGCAAATCGAACCCAGGCAGCTTTGCTCATCACTAGTGTTAAATATGAACCCATACTCATTTGCAGAATATTGTACCCATACACCCTGCAAAATTTTACCTGCCCGCCCCTTGTAGTGTGCCAGCTGCCGGTAGTTGTAGGATTCAAGCGTCTTCACCTTAGCAGACAGGCTGCACCCTTCAGTATCTGCTCTACCGGATGGACCTCTGAGGCCCATACCCCCCTGCAGCACTGTTGGGCTTCATACATTTCAACATTGGAGTGTCCATTCTACCTCAAGCCATGTGTCATTTCATGACTAGATGGAGGAATGAGCACCGCCTGTCCTCATTGCTCTTTGTCAGCCTGTCAGTAGTGGCAGGCTGACAGCAGCTGATCTGCTCAGACTGGTGTATTGTCACTGGTATGGTATTACCAAACTGCTGTACCCATTTTTTCAGCCCTGGATTAATGTATTTTACCATACTCTATATAAGTAATGCAAACTTATTTTAGGAACATTGTTTATTTCTATGTTAAACAGAGTTACTGTGCTTCTAGACTTTGGGTAGTTGTTCATTTACCACCTTTCTGTCCTGTTTTTGGTCTTGACTATGGTCTTGACCATTTTCTTGTGGCATTACAGCCCAGTGAAGTCATGCTTGCAATTTACTGCAACTTTAAGACCTTATGCATGCTACTATGCTGCCCTCACAAACTGTTGTATTATTAATTACCATACCCCAGTATTGGCAGGAAACCATGTGGGCAACTATCCTGTATAGTGATCTCTTCAAATGGAATATATCGCAAAGCAAAATACTCACATGAGACATCTTGGAAAGAAGCTGTAGCTCTTTGAGTCTGATGATGCATGCTAGTTCCAAGGTAATGGCAGGTTACCTTTCACTAGTAAAGAGTAACTGTTGTCAAATTCCTTATACACAAACTTACTAACGCCATCATAGAATTTATGTAATGGTCTGTTAGAAAATAGGTCAGTTCTGTATTTCTATTCAGTGAAAAAAACAACACAAAGTATAATGCAGTGCCGCCACAAGGCAGAGGCACAGAAAAAGATAGTCTGCACTAGGTTTTAATGTTGCCTCCAAATAAAAAAAAAAAAACGATAGGTTAGGTTGGTGATAGGCTCATAGAACTGTTGGAAACATTGCTCAGTTATTCCATCTTATTGTAATAACTGTGTGCAGTCTGAATAATTCTTCCCTGTTCCCAGAGACGAGGGAAATATCACATGCAGGGCTTCCATTTGTCTGTGGCTAAAATTATTAGGGAACATTACACCTAGCACTTGGCTTTAACTTTTCTTTTATGTATACATGCAGCCTGTTTCTAGTCTTGTCCTGTTTATCTCACTGGATTCAGTTACATTCTCTATAATTTTTGTTTCCTTAGCAATGAAGCTGGGACCAGAAGCTTTCAGGTTTGATGGAGGAGTTGAAGCTATTGCTACCAGACAAAATGAAAAATATTATATTTTGCGACCAGAGGTGATAGAAACTTATATGTATATGTGGAGATTTACACATGACCCAAAATACAGGCAATGGGGCTGGGAAGCAGTAGAGGTAAGTTTGTATCTCTCTATTTTATAAAGCACTTAGCATTTATAATATTTTATTAATTAAAAGCCCTCCGACATACAGAAAACCTCACTTCCTTCTCACTTAAGTGAAGTTTTCTGTATGCCGGAGGGCTTTAATGCCGATGGGAGCGTTTTGTATCTGACAATAAGTGAGTGTTTTAATCCTTTAATAAAGTGGGGTCTTATTTACTACTCTGAGTCTCTGGTATTCCTTCTGAGCTGGCCGGTTGCTTAGAAACCTGTAATCGGGGACTCTGAGGGAGATGCTGGAGGTATTGGAGACTTGGAGGACCAGAGGGTACACCAGAGGAGAGATACAGAAAGGAGAGAAAAGCTGCAATTTCCCCAATCATCTTCCAGTACAGCAACCTGAGATGATTGGTTCCACCTTCTACAGGAAACACCGGTAAATCTAACGGAACATTTGTTGCTGTATTTGACCATCCCTAGCTTTGATGGTCCTATACTTCTGGCGAGTGTGGTCATTTTATCTGTCGGACAAGGGGGCGATTAATATAAGGGAGCACGAAGAAGCACATGTATGGAGGAATTAAATGTATAAACAATAGAACGACTTTTGAATGGACTTGTATATGAGTGGTATTTATTCATTTTGTGGTGGTGGAATTTATTTGTATAATTTATTAATTTGGACTTACATTAGTAGTCACTTTACTGTGGTCATGTAAGTGTTTTTTAGTATTGTGCACTATTATTTATTTTTTGTGCACTTGATGAACAGTTTTATATTAAGCACAGTGCAATTTTTTTTTTTATACATTTGTTGGTGACACAGTAAACTAGAGCATAGCAGCTTATCACATTCACGATTGTGACCATAGTGCAGAATTTATTTGAATTGAATCCATGCAAATAGTGTCCTAACCAAGATTTAATCCTTTTGCTGCCGCTGACATGCTGGCTGTAAGCAGACTCCCAGATGCTATAGCTGTTTGTATGTGTAAAGCTGACTGTCGGCTTTACACTGGAATTTATTCAGGTGGCTGGAAAGCCACCTGTTCACTTCCAAGGGCTGGCAAACATGTGGCCCAACAACCCCTGCGATCTTTCACATGCTCCTTGGTCCCTCCTGTGGGCCTGGAACCAGCATTGTGGATGTCGGGAGAGAGAGACCAGTGAACATCTGTTTGCTGATCTCCTCCCCGCTGAATGTACCTGGAAGCAACAATGATTTAATCACTTCCAGTTTCTGGGCAGTCATTTGCTGACCAGAGAAGCTGGTGAAGAAGCTGATCAAGCATGATCTATGCTTGATCAGGTTCAGTGGGCTTCAAAGGTATTAGTAGGGCTTTAAAGACCCCTAATGTCTCGAAGAGTACTGGTCTATGTGGTGCTGTCGCATAGGGGGGCTTGTGAAAAGGGGAAAAAAATAAATGTAAAATAAATACAAAAGCACTCAAACTTTTTTAGAACTGGCATGCCTATGTATAAAAATGACGATTACATCACACAAGTTATCGTCATTGGTGCAACCTTTTATATTTGTGTTTGTGAACTAAATTCAACTTTGTTTTTTTTTTTTACAAAAAATGTGGGTTTCATAAACCGTAATGCCAATATCATGCCACATAAAAATTGTCACCATTTTATTCTACAGGGTCTCTGTTTTCAGGTATTCGGGGGGGCCTAAATGCATTCAAATGTGTGCAAAAACTGCTCTGGCAGTGAAGGGATTAAACCAATGACACTAGTGCTACTTATAATCTTTGTTTTTTAAACAAATGTGGAAAGTATTTTCATGTTGCCACATGAAAACATATTACATTGTAACTTGACCCTGACGGGACTAAAAAAAGTCACTGTATCAAGTTACTGACCTCTCCTTGTAGCAATAAATGTTGTGTGTCCAAAGCCAAATCTGTATTTTGTAGAGGTAGCTAGAGTAGGAAAGTATTAGAACCTCTATCAGCCTTTAAAGGAGAACTATGGGGTCAGGGCTTTTCCCCAGAGTTCTAAGAGTAACGGAGGACATAAACTAGTGTCCTCCCATCACCCTAAGCTCAGTATACCGCAAGCTACAGCTCGCGGTATACTGAGACGCCGCAGCAGGGACAGATCCCGACATTACTGTCGAGATCCACCCAGCTTAGGCATTGACAGCTGGCTCTGCCTATCTAGAGGCAGAGCCAGCTGTCCCCGTCCGTTCCTGGAGGGGTGGAATCCCGGCAGGGAGCCGTGAGTGACAGTCACGGCTCTCTGCAGGGATAGATCGAGAAGTGAGCGAGCGACGCTATGTATTCGCTCATTTCCTGATCTATTGAGCCGCCTGTGACAGTTTTAATGTCCACAGGTCGGCTAGAACTATGAGGCTGAGTGATTTTCACTCGCCTCATAATTCTCCTTTTAACTGCTGTCCCCACTAGGGAGATTCACTTTCTCTATATGTCCAGTTAACCATGGTCACTGGGACTGAATGTATGTGAATGTACATACAACATTTTGAGTTGTCACCAGGATAGAAATGGAGGGTAAATTTTCCAATAGGGACACATGTTCGATGACAGCTGCTTAAGAATTTAACCATTCCATACCTAAAACTGAAACAGAAGTTTTGGCCTTAATCGCCTTGAAAAAAGAGCATTCTGTTTAAAAGTATTGTTAATTGCAACATCATGGGAAGTCACAGTACGTATACGTATCCCAAAACCTTTTTTGAGAATGTATACATCAGAACATTTACAAAAGTGATCTTAGCAATCATTGTACTGCACCTGTTATATATTCTTGTTTTTATAATGTATTTTACTGTGAGTAATATGCATGGGCTGTATGTGGGCCATCTCCACATTTAGTCACATTTCCCCTGTGTAGAGACATGCAACAGGCACATTACACCCCTTCCTATGGGGCTTCTCTCTGCAACTATCCCTATATTTTGCACTATTAACAAATTTTACTAGACATGTATAGATACATACTAGATATGTATTAGCTAGAGGTGCACCGAAATTGACATTTTAGAAACGAAACCGAAATAAAAAAATGTCAGACCGATACCGAAAATGTTTTTTATTTTTTCAATTTTATAAACTTTTTAATTTTTTTAATTTTCTTTTTCTTCATTTTTTATTAAATATTTTTATTTTTTACTTTTAGGGGCTTTGGGGAAATATTAGGGGTCCAAACAGACCTCTGATATTTCCCTTTTATAATAGAAAAAGAGATTGAGAACACAGTCCTCAATCTCTTTTTCTGTGTCCCCTGTTATCAATGAACAGGAATCCTCTGAGTGTTCCTGTTCATTGATAACTTGAGAATATTGTTTACTATAACTACAATTATGAATGAATGGAGGTGATGTAGATCACTCCCATTCATTCATAATTGACGATATAGTTAACATACCATATTCTCAATTATGTACAATACACTCAGCGATCACTGATCACTGAGTGTGTGCACCTTGCTTTTCTCTCTGACACGCTGTCACAGGAGGCTGATCGAGCGGTGTAGAGAGGAAAGCCCAGCCTGCTGTGACAGCGCTGTCTCCGCCCCCACATTGCTCTGCCGGACTGTGATAGGCGGCTGAGCGGTGTGGGAGGAGAGACGCCGGCCGCTCACAGCGCTCTCGTCCTCATTTATTCTTTACTATGCAGAGAGCCATACTCTGCAGGACTGTTGGAAGCCTCCATGAGAACAGCTCCCCATAGAACTAATTGGGGCCATGACTTGCATGCACAGGAGGACCAGGTGGGGGCAGTTCCTGTAGAAAGTCAGTGCAGCTCCAGGTGGAGCAGAATACTGAAGAACACTGGAACAGCAGCCAAGTGATTGGGTAGGCTGCACTTGGAGTGTGGGGGGTCAGTATCTAAAGGACAACTGTACAGTGGTTCTTTCAGTTTAAATGTAAAACATTGTTGACAAAAGCTTGGCGTAATTGGGGTCAAACATTACTTTTTGGTATGCAGACATGATCAGGCCTTAAACAGCATGAAGGTAAATGGATTTAGTGGATATGTCCATAGAGAAGCACTTTTGATAAATGGTCAGCACCTTGTTGATGCACATTAATGTAGAGCATGATTAAAGAATATTGATTGCCTTGTTCTAGATGTATACAGTTATGCACGTGCTGCTCTCTGTAATGGCCATCTAAATAATGCATCAATTGGGCTAGAAAACAGATATGTAAATGATAAAGTGCCTTAAAGAGATCCTGTCACCTTAAAAATTACAGGTAAAAGCCAAAAAAATTTAGTATTTAAATGCTTGCTTGCTTGCTTTTGTTTTTTTCCTTAAAGTGATACTAAACTCAGGAGTTGAATCTTAATGCATTCAAGTACCTTAACTAGGAATGCACCGATATATTGGCTGAAAATGGCACTTTTAGCTAAATGTTTAGACCCCTAACATTTCCCCCGAAGCCCCTGAAAAGTAAAAAATAAAAATGTTATATGTCTATCACTCGGCTTTAAATTTATTAAGACATTTAGACTACTCCAGAAAGTGTCCCTTCCCAAGCCCAGTCCCCTCCCTCCTCGCATGCCATAGCCCTCTCCTCTTCTTGGAGTGTATAATTACTGTCTGAGCTCCTCTGCTTCTCTCTGCTGGGGCTGCTGATATCACATCCAAGATGTTGGCACCCAGCAGCAGTGTTGGGTCTTTTGGATGGCTACACAAGGGGAGGCTTTTACAGTTAAATTGTATACATAAAATATTAAATGCACATAGCTTATACAAAGATGGTCGTTGAAATTACTGGCCTGAATACAGGGTATCTTTAAATCTTAAGCTGTACGTCGTCCGTCACAAAGGGATTAAAGGGCCTACTGCCTTTTTTGGGGTATCCTGCATCCTTAAGCCCTCTCTCCTAAAATCAAGGTTGGCAATAAAAAGTAAACAAGATTAAAGTGACGGGCACCCAATTTATTTTTTGCCCCACTATACACAGAGTACCAGACCCTAAGATTGAAATGTCAGCCTGCCTCACTACTTAGAGGTCATGCTGCACCATCCCAAGAG